TTACAAGAAGATTTTTGTTTCTTTTGAGGGTATCAAAGGCTGGATGGAGATTGCCTAAAGGCAGCATCTCACCCTCGGGCTGTATTTTCAGTTGCTTGTGTCTGTGCATTCAAAGAAAGGCTGTATTCCTTATTTGCAATGAAAGTTTAAACCACCACAGCGGGAAGTTTAAAGATATTTGCAGCCACTGCTGTTCAAATATTTTGGTTTACGGCTTGCAAAATGAATGCTGCTGAATGCTCCAATGAACATCAATCAATCAATCAAACTTTATTTATATGGCAGTTAATCATACAATGCATGCAACTCAAAGTGCTTAACAAATTAAAAAGGTCCCGCATACCCACATTCCCTCCCATCCCCAGACTTTTAAAAACAGTCTGACATTTATAGCCCCTTCACAACACTCATCCTCCGGCACACACGCACACAAACACACACACACATACACATGCACACGCATGCACACACATATCCCCCCCCCCCCCAATGGAAAAAACACGATGGGCTGAGATCAGATGAGCCAGACCAACTAAGATAAGGATAAGGAAACGCCATCAGGGGAGCCATCCGCCCCGACAACAGATCCACAGCAGTATATATAAAATAAAATATTTTAGTACACGTAAAACACTTGCTGTTCGTGCCATAAATGTTGACTGAAGACTAATAATTTAGTAGTCAAGGATACACGATCCACATCTCAACAAACATGTGGTGATTGGTCTTTCCAGCAGGTGTTTGTCATTAAACTTCAGAGCTCAAAAGTAGCAGCTGGAGTTTGAAATGCTAAAGATGTGTGTGAAAATGTATGTGTGGATGTTGTGCATGCCTTTTGCTCATTAGTGTGTGTATGTAAGTGTGTGAGATAAATTACCTCGGTATCGGCAGACCGTCTGTCACCAAGAGTAGGATGGTAAAGATGCCGTTTCTCATGTCCAAGAACTTTATACCCATAATCACTTGCGGTGATTAATAAATCTTTTTTTCCACAACAGCTGGTTATGCTGAAGTCATTTCTATATTTTGATCTGAGGTGAACGCAGGATGAGAAACAACAACCGGACTAAGACCACAGCAAATGAAAATGTGCGTAACTCAACCCTAACAGACCGCTTTTACAGAAATGTGCTGGTGATCACAAACTATTAGTTCTACAGTTAAGACCAGAGAGTTGTAAAATATAAGGGCTGTGCCATAAGATATGTCTGTAAACATGTTAATGTCCGGTGCCTCACGTCCTGGAACATCCTGCATAGATCACCAGATACATGAGACGACCACGAGAAACACATCTAGGGCAGTTCGCTCAACACACATGTTTTGGACTGGATGCCGGATTACGCGGAGAGAGGGGAGCGTGAAAACTCCACTCTTAAAGGCCAACGTCATTGTTTGGAGCATCTTCCTTTACGGTTCTGACTGGTAAAGACCTATTAAAGAAAGCATTTCCTCCTGACTAGTCTTCATACGGTGGTCGGGATTAGATTTTATTATTGGCGGAAGATAAATAGACGGTGATTTATTTCTGTGTCTGTTCTTTATTTTCTCCTTTTGTTGAAAGAATGTTTCACTGGACAGACTGAAGGTTTCAGAGAATACTACAAACCTTTTGGTGGTTTTCACTCCAGCTGAGTTCAGTCAACTTAAAACAATCCCAGATTTTCCCTCCTTGACATGGTTAGGGTTAGGGTTAACCACAGCCCTAACCCCTTATGCAGGTATAAAAACAGGAACCTCACTCAGGCCCAGTTCACATTCACCCGCTCCTCCCCCTTCCAACCATCTTAAAGTTTCCCTCAATTACTATAAGGGCTCTAAAGACAATCTTATCAGCTAATCCTACCGTTTGTGGTGTGTAACGAGCGCTCTAGTCTGTTCAGAAGGACTTCAGGAAAGCTTCCATCATACATTTTTGTGACCCGTCTAAGACACACCTGGCCACTTGACCAATCAGCACCACCTTGGAACAAATGAGTTAACAGAAAATACATAAATGGACACAAGCTTTTAACTGACTGACTTATTTTGAGACATTTCATTCACTTCACTTTTTTCATGATAATGATGTTAAAAGTCGGTTTTTAACTCATACATAACCTACTTCCTTAGATTATATGTCATGTTTTGCATTCCTTCAGTCTTCCCAACGTGAAACTTCATCCACAGCTCCTGAAGAGACGAAAGCTAACTCTGACTCTTTAAATAGTCTGATAAATGTCTGACATTGGCAAGTTGATTTGAAGTTTCCAAACTCGACCAGGATTGGCACAGAGGGAGTTCAAACTCCACGGCTCCGATACCATGAATGCACTCAGGGCTTAGTCTTCAATACCGGTCCTGCAGGATGTCTCCCCCATCCCAGGAAAACCTAACGGGATGTTGCTGTTGCACCTGTGTGCAGGTGCTTGCTGATCTGTGTTTTGTTTAGCTCACTCAGTACTGTGACCTGCAACAGGCTTCCAAATTAAACAAGAAACAGACTCTTGACCTTTGTAGAGCTGTGGTGGTTTAAGGAGGTGCAGAGCTCCTCATTATGAAAAGGTCATTTTGTTAGAAAGCCCCGCCTTCATCAGTGTTTAAATGAGCTGGTTGTATCTGGTTTAACACTTTGAGTCGGCCAGGATGACTCAGCTCTTTGTGATTAATCCGCTTTTTCTTCTTTGGATTCCAAAACCTTCCGCTACTTTCCCAATCGATTCCCTTTCAGCTGCCATCACAGGGACATGCAGCGGGACTTCCATCAGCAACTGCTGCCATGCAGCGGAGTCTGTTTTGAAATGCGTGATCCTCATGTTACACTGTCACCACAGACATGGGGCGATGTCCTATTTGGGATCTTTTACCTCCAGCTTGGTGCTGAGTCGACTTTGAGGCGCCACACGCCAAGTCCTCGACCCAGCTTCTGGTCTCACTTCTGTTTCCTCTGTCCCAAAGGGATGAAATTACCAAGAACTGGCAAACCAGCTGAGTGCAGGTTGAATTCCAGGTATTCATTTTGGCTGACATTTGGAGATCAGTCAGCTCTCCATTAATGAACGCCAGTGAGAGGGGACGTATATATTCCGTAAAAAAACAAACAGTTTTTTCTTTTTACAATTATTTTTTGAGTCATTGGAAGAAAGGAACGTGAAACATGACAGATAAACAGTTCAGGAATCAGTTCAATATTAATCTGTGGTTTTTTTCATGTGATTTTGTTTCTGTTCAGATAGAAAAATATGCAAACAAAACACAAAAATGAGTCACAATACTGACTTTAGGTGAGAGTGTTTGGTCTGCTGATTGGTCAGATTATCTGGGGGTGGAGCTACCAGCAGCAAATCCAGAATGAATTATGAATGTTCTGGTCCTGAGCTGGTAAACAATAATAATAATAATAATAATAAATCAAACTTACATAGTGCTTGTTTGGGACACTCAAAGACGCTTAAATGAACTCTTACATTCACACACTGCCAGTGATGGTAAGCTACTTTGTAGCCACAGCCGCCCTGGGGCGGTCTGATGGAGGCGAGGCTGCCATTTGGTGCCATCGGCCCCTCTGACCACCACCAACACAGGCAAGTTGGGTGAAGTGTCTTGCCCACCGACACAACAGCAGAATACGCCTGGCGAGAGCTGGAATCGAACTCATGACCCTCCAATCATGAGGCAACCCGCTCTACCTCCTGAGCTACTGCTGGTCAAACATGGTCAAACAAGGTCAGAGCTTTGGAGCTCTGTTGGAACCAAAACCACCTCCTCCAACAAGCCACAATACAGATCTTCTGCTCCGTGCGGAGCCCGGATCACATGGAAGGCTTACATTTCACCACGAGATGTACTTGTATGACTGAGCATGTGACAAATACACCTTTTTGAATTATTCTGCGAGTGGATGATGCCTTTTGAATCCTTTGACATTATTAGCCAAATGTCAAAGCACGAGAGATGCCACACATTGGAATAGCATAGCATAGCATAGTTTATTTATATAGCACATTTAAAATGCAGCATGTGAGCTGCCCAAAGTGCTGCACAGGCTAAAACAAAACACATCATTACAAGGAGCTAAAACAAAGGATAAAAATCTCAATTAAAAGCAGAGAAAACATGATGAATACTAAGAGCACATTAAAACAATGACACAATAAAACACTAAAACGAGTCACTGTCTAAAAGCCAAAGTGTAAAAGTGGGTCTTTAAACGAGATTTAAAAACCGCCAGAGATGTAGCCTGCCGAACTCCAATAAAAACGTGCGACTGCATCAGTTTTGGTCCTACAGTGTCTGGTGTGCAGCAACTCTGCAAAAACCACACATTCCAAACAAAACGCTTTCACAGTCAACACTCAGATGGAAAATCTGGCAAGATAAAACGTGACTTTAAAGTAAGCAAACGTGGTGGGTGAGGAAGGTCCAGCATTCTTCTGTCACCTCCCTCTCTGATTGGCTGCATGTCACATCTAACAGGCAGCATGTTCGTATGTCCCCAGGTCACCACAGGGTCAGGGAGACGCACGAGTACACCTTCTGTTCAAAAAGTGAAGCCAAGCTATAAAATTCCCAGCTGCTGTATTTTCTTAATCTGAATTTGAACACACAGTCGCTGCTTGAAATCATCACTGGAGCTGAACATATTGAGGAAAAGAAGGATATTTGAGCAGTTGAAAGGTAAGACACCTGGGAAAATGATCTGAGGTGCAATTAAGAAAGCATCTCAGAATAACTGCAACATCAAGAATTATTTATGTTTTTAATCTGAAAGGGGCGGGGCTTAAAGGTAAACTAGGCAGATTTGGCTTGCTTTTAGCACCACCTAGTGTCCATTTGTAGACGCAAAAGCAAAACCTAACACCCCACTGTGGGTTTGTTTGTTTTTAACAGCTGAAACATCTTCTCAGCCTTCATTACTGTCTACAGGAGTGATTCATCACTAAATTAAACAAATCAGCTGTGTTCATGATCTAAAACATGCAGGAAACATGCTGCAGCACCTGGTATGTCCCAACAGACTTATCCCACCAGTCTGAAGTTGTAAATGGAATTTTCTGGCCACAGGGAGCAATAGAGGCTGGGTGGCCTTCATTAACCCTGTAAAGGGTTGTTTTAGCACTTACTGGCTCCAGAAAATTATGTAAAAATATGAGAAAGTTGCATAGTGTCTCTTTAAAACCCGTACAGCAGCCAGCTAATAGGGGCGATTCAGTTCCTTTCAGTGTGAACATCAAATCAATCAATCATTCAATCAAAGATACTTTATTAATCCCAGAGGGAAATTAGAGTTTCAGTACACACAATTCAGAGATCAGACATACATGGGCAAGACACATGACAAGAATTGGTGACTGTGGTAATTCGCAACCCTGAGTCGTGCTATCTTAATAGAGATAAGAGGGTTACATGAGGAATTGATTCAGGAGGAGGGGGGAAAAAGGCACTTCAGAGTTACCCTCCCACCAGGAGGGCAGCTTTGCTCTGCAATAAAACACCTCAGATATGCAACAGACTTCAGACAACACAACATAAGTGTCCACTAGGTGGGGTGGTGGGTTGGGACTATCCCTACTTCAGTTCTTGCAGCCACGATAAGCAGCGCATGTCACATCAGTGTGGATAGGGGGAGGAGCATTAAGGGTTGGAGGGTTGTAGTGACCCTGGAACATTTCAGCAGCCTTCCTGCAGTCCCACCCAGGCTGAGAAAGGAGACAGAGTTGACTTGCCATAGCGAAGGCACATTCCACATATCTTCTGAGGGAGGAGTTTTCGTTGGAGCCTTGCAGGCTCAAGGGCGCCAGATTCCGGTTAGAAATTGTTTTGGGGCCGGACAGAGATAATTTCCTCTCTGTCTTACAGTTTGTTGGTCCTCAACCTCTCAAAATCCCAATAATGGACGTTAATCTATCCCAATCCGTGCTGATTCGTCCACTCTGTCCTTGATGGCATCCATCTCCGCCAAAGTCCCAAGCTTATGATTCATCTCGACAATTATTTGAGTCTGTGAATTCACAGCGTGGTGCAAACCATTTCTGAGCTCCGGGAACAGGCCAATATTCCTCGACAGCTCATTAATTTTCCGGTAAGCCAGGTAGCCTCCAAGACCAATGAGCAGGAAACCTGACACCAACACCACGAATATCCACACATCTTCAGAGTCTTCCACAGACAGCTGAGATAGACAGATCAAGTTCCACTGTTTCCAGGAGTCCATGATGTGTCCAACTGGGTCAACATCAACAATACCATCAAAAGCACCTGCAAGTTAAAGCTGCAACAGCAAATCTGCTAAAAGAGCTAGCTATTAAACACAAACAAGTTCATGGAAAACTCGCCCCGTCTGTCGTCTATCATCTCCAAACCACATTCCCAGAGGAAACGAGACAGCGCTAAACACCCGTCGCTGTTTTCTAGGTCCAAACATCTTTTGGTGTTTCTCTTTTTGGGACTCTGGTAGTTTGTCCTAAATGTGAATTGCCGGATGTTTCTCCTCTGATATTAGTGAGCGGAGAACCTCTCACACCAGTGGTGTTCTGCTGCCAAATGCATGAGTGCATAATGAGTGGAGGACCCAGGGAAGTGCGGCGGTTTGGCAAGACCAACAACCAGTGGTTCCTTTCAGCTCGAGCCGTTATTGGTGGAGGGTTTTAGACAAATGCAAGAGAACAAATGCATAAATAATGTTTCTTTCTTTTAAATCTCAACAGCATGTAATGCTATGTTTAGATGAAAAAAATGTTTTCCGCTGATTTGTTATCCAAATTTTCCATTGCAGCTCTAAAGCTCAGTCATAAATTGTTATTATTAGTTCTAAATTGGACACAAAGTTGATCTGGGAATATAAATGTGAGAATGAAAGTGTTTTCTTTTTATACGAGCCTCAGTTTTACCCCCCAGAATGAGTCAATTCATCCACAGAGAAAACTAAATCTAAAGAAGAGCAAATGCAAAGGAAAGAGTCAGAAAACCAGGGTTAGTTCATATGAGTCACAACTAAAACCCTGAAGGGCTTCAGAGTTTCTGAGTAAGAAATTATAAAACGGTCACAAACACTCTGGATGATAAACTTCATCGTGATTAAATCCACCGGTACCGAGAACAAGGGCTCAAGTTTCACGGCACTTCACATAAATCAGTGTGTTTAGGAATTTTCCTCGTGAGCTTTATTAAATGTAGCCGTCATATTTAGTTAGACAGTAATGAGGTTTTAATTTCACCTGCAGAAATGTGTGAAAGGTCACAGAGGCCGCGTGTGAAGAGGGTGCTAAGTTCACGAGTTTAAATGAACTGATAGTACAACAAGGAGGATTTCAGAATAAAGACATATCATATTACTGTACATGGTCGTGTGTGTGTGTGTGTGTGTGTGTGTGTGTGTGTGTGTGTGTGTGTGTGTGTGTGTGTGTGTGTTTGTGTGTGTGTGTGTGTGTGTGTGTGTGTGTGTGTGTGTGTGTGTGTGTGTGTGTGTGTCCTCTGCAGAGGCCATTTGTAATCAGCTGTTAAAGTGGGCTCTCATCTGTCAGGAGCGTTTGGAAGCAGCAGCAGTGAAGTTGGACGACAGACTGAAAGGACGGCCAGACGGTACCTGGACCACGTTCTGATCAGCTTCGTGTTGGTTTGAAAGTGTGTGTGTAAGGTTTCCAGTTTGTTTCGGACTGCTTCTGATTCAGACCCAATTGAAAAGGTAAGAATTTGGAGACCAAAAGAAGTTTAGTATGAAAAAAAAACATGTTTGTGTGTTTAAATTCTAGTTGAAAAAAAAAACCCAGGTTTTTAAAATACCAAAAGCTAATTAATAAAAGGTGCTGTTTGTTAATCAAAATGTTTTTTTTGTGTGTGATTGTAGCGCAACAATGACATTAATGACTAACTTTTGTGTGCAGAAATGTGCGCGTCCTTATCTTGAATCAAACAGCGGACACTGCGGATCGATCGTAAATGGGATACCCACTTTGTCCCACATGATCAGATATAAATATATACTGCAGCTTGGACCCACATATTTAAACTTACAGAGCATAAAGTAAATGGTTAGCAGATTACTTGACAATCTCTGAGGTTTTTCTAGTAATTCAGTTAGAATAAGTGAAATTCCTAATACTGGATCGAAATTCTGCTATAAATCAGTGAGTGAGTACATTTTAACAAATTTTATTTATTTTGATTCAAACTCTTTAAATTCCAAATGTTATCCAGCTTAATTAATACACTGTGCATTGCTAAAAAACCATAGATTTGTCATTTTTTTAAGTGAAAAGACTGAAACCCAGGTGCAAAACTCTGTTTATACAGTTGCTGCTGATGTTGGGTTGCCATCATGAAGGCTGCAGAGTGCAAACATGCAAATCCAGTGGCTTTTCAGCACAATGCACAAAAAGGCTCATTGCCTAGTTTATTCTGTTTTTTTACAGCAGGAAAGGATGATTGAGCTTGGTCTGGCTGACGGGAGCCTGATTGACGAGCTGATGGAGCTGACGGCTCAGAGCATCGGCCACCTGGAGATCCAGGAACATTTCAACATCATCAAGGAGATCGGCCGAGGGAAATACGGAAAAGTGCTGCTAGTCACGCATCGTTTCAGGGGTGTGACTATTATTTTCTATTGTTTCGTCCTGCGTGCATGTCCAATATTAGTCACAGATCAGCTGATTAACTGACATTTCACACGTTTTAGCTTCGTTTTTTTTCTTTTGGTGAGATTGACAAACCGGTGCTGAAGGTCTAAAAATAATAAAAACACTTAAAAGTTGCACAAAAGGACATTCGCTTTCTCATGTTGTCTCCAAAATCAGTAACTCTAAATAATGACCACTTGAAAGTGAGCCCCTTTGGTTGGAGAGAAAGCAGAGAGGGACATTCAAGGCAAAGTGGAGCTTTGAATTAGTCACTGCAGACAAAGTAGAGAACAGAACATCAGCTGGCTCGAAGCCTGGAGGGCTTGGGTGTGTGTGTGTGTGTGTGTGTGTGTGTGTGTGTGTGTGTGTGTGTGTGTGTGTGTGTGTGTGTGTGTGTGTGTGTGTGTGTGTGTGTGTTTGTGTGTGTTTCAGCAAACACAATGAACTGATCTTTATATTTGAAATCTCTTTTTGATACAGAGAGAAATAATTTATTTATGAAGACAGAACTATAGAAATAAAGTTATATTGGTTAAATGGAGAATTCTTATTTAAAAAAACACGCAGCCAACATTTTCGACAGATTGCTTCTTATTTGTTTTTACTGTACTATCCATCGCTGTTGATGCTTTTATTTAATTTATTTTCCCGAGCCCGGTTTTATCAAATGAAAAAGTGTTTCAGGTCTTAGAAACCGAAGAAAAGCAAATTGGGCATAAACTGTTATACAAATAATCTCATCTGCAGGGACCCCCATGGCCCTGAAAGTGATGCCCAAAGCCTCAACTAAGCTGCAGGGCTTTCTGCGGGAGTACTGCATCTCCTTACACCTGTCCTGCCACCCCTGCATCGTGGGCCTGTTTGGCATCGCCTTCCAGTCCAAAGAGCACTACTGCTTTGCTCAGGAGCTTGTCATTGGCAGGGATCTTTTTGCTGTCATTCAGCCAAAAGTGAGTCGTTCATTGTCTAAATGGGACTTAAGGGGGACTTACAACTGCTCTAGCAGGGCTGTATTTAGATGTGAAGCACGTTGAGCTCAATTATGTTTAATCTAACTGCAAAATATTCAAATCAGTCCCAATCTTGGTCCTTCATGCATGTTGAATCCAAAGCAAGCTTCAAAGAGCACTATGCAAAGATAAAGTTTTTAAAAGTTATTAAATATTAAGAGACAATTTTTATAAAAAAAATGTAAGTTATAGTTTACTAGTTCAATGGATGATGTTTATGTTCTAGACATATCAGTGCCTTCCAGAATGAGCCGTTTCAGGGCTCTGTCACTTTGAGGAAAGAAAAGCAAGCACTGGCCACGCCCACTCATCCCCTCTCAGTCTACTATATGCTAAGAAGCTCCGATGGCAGGAGGGGCTTGAAGTAGAGCCGTTACTCCTCCATCACCAGCTCTCTCTCTTGCACATGAGAGGTGGCTCAATTCTAAGTTTCCCATTTTTGACATCACAAAAAGTGTTAATATTACGGTAACAGCAACTTAATCATTGTATAAGTCATATTCTCTAATGTTTTATTCAAACATCTCCTCATTTTCTTAGATGACTTTATAATTGTTTGTGTTTAGTTCATTGCACACTTCAAAGTGAAACCAGGACTAAAACATGCTGTTGGCAGTTGAAGGGTTAATAAGGTCTACGTGCAATTTGGGAATTTATCACAGATTATTTAGCTTTAAGGTGTTTTTACAAAACGAAACCACATCCTTACAGCAGCTGTGAATCATTTGTAAATGGAAATAAATATGAATCTGTGCTTACGTCCAATTTGACATAAATGTTATCAGAAAGTAACTGAAATTCAATCCTGTTTTTTTAAAGAAGGAATTGGGTCAGAAGTGTGTGAGAATCGTGTGTTTGAACCAGGGGTGGATTTAGGACTGAAGAAGATCTGGGGTTTAACACACACACACACACATGCACGCGCACGCACACACACACACACATGACACTCACTAGTCAACATCATATTTGTCTTGTACCACATCATTTTTAATCTGAAGCTACACATTAAGCATTTTCAGGGCAGAGTATTGTTCCTGTTAGTGTTTAGTGTGAGATGATAGTAAATATTCCTTTTCTTTCTCCATCAACTTTACCTGATAGTAAGCTAACTTTAGGCAAACCAGCAGCACAACTAATATTTTCAAATAAGACTCACAAACCTGAGTCAACACCAGTCTCATCAAAGCTGGGGTTCTGTCGTTGTACTTTTGGTCTAAAAAACGTCCTTATGTCCATCTTCACTCATGCGTTTCAGGCAGAGAGTGTAGAAGAAGCTGGCTGCTGAAGGGCTTCTTCTTCAGTGGTGGAGGCTCAGGCAGGCTGTATACAAACTACTGCCAGCTGCTCCCTCTCTGTTGGACTTTGGTACTGCATGTTACTTCCGCGATTTAGATCTGGGGCTTTTCATGAAACATCCGGGGCTTCAGCCCAAGTAGCCGGGCCTAACGCCGCCCCTGGTTTGAACCAAAGTTTCATTTCAATGATTGAGGAGACAAAGTGGAAATGTTCTTTAACTGTATTTACATCCAACTTCCTCAAGATGGCGCTAAAATTTGCATTAATTCATCCTTTTATATGTTTTTCATTTTTGCTGAAAAAAATGACTAAAAAGAATTATTTCTGTTTTTGTTACAAATCAAATATTTTTTATTTGTCATTTTTAATCAAAAAACAACCGGTTGATGTCTGTTCCGTCTCAGAAGTTTGAACTAAGATCCTGACGTATTATAAATAAGCAACCATGTCTTTTTGTCATCAGGTGGGCATCCCAGAATCCTCAGTGAAACGTTGCGTCCTCCAGATCTCCAGTGCTTTAGAGTTCATCCACAGCCACGGCCTGGTCCACCGGGATGTAAAACCTGAAAACATCCTGCTGTTGGACAGCCAGTGCTGTCAGGTCAAGTTGGCGGACTTCGGCCTTGCCCAGAAGAGAGGCACCATTATCCGCTTTGTCGCGGGAACGCTGCCCTACATGGCACCAGAACTTTGCGCCGTGGCTCTGCTGGACAACCAGAAGGAGGTGACAGCGGCTCCTCTGAGCATTGAGCCAAGCCTCGACACCTGGGCCTTTGGGGTGGTTATCTTCTGCATCCTTACAGGCTACTTCCCCTGGGAGCGCTGCATGGGCTCGGACAGCTTCTACCAGGAGTTTGCTGACTGGTGCACGATGGAGAAGGAAGCTTATGCAGAGGAGGACATCCCTCCTTTGTGGAGGAGGTTCACTCCAGAAGCTTTGGAGATGTTTGGAAAGCTTCTAGCTCTAGATTCAATAAAGAGGAGCACAGTGGGAGCGGTGAAAGCATACATGGAGATAGACTGGCTGAAGAAAGAAAATGGAAATCAGCTGCAGAGAACAGGACAAGGAAAGATACATTCTACAGGGAGGTAAAAGGAGGTGAAGGAGCATCCTGGTTCATTTATAAGAGAGAGCAGACACAGTTACTGGGGATTTCCCACAATATATGATGTCAATAAGAACACTCTGATGTCTATATGAGATGTTTTTTTAGGATTCTTCAAGTGTCGGTGGAATGTAAAGCCACATTAACTTGTTGTTAAATAAAAGCAGCTTGGGTGGTCATGTACATGTAGCCTCAAAAGCAGTGTTGGACCTGCTTTCTGTGCAAATTAGTCATCCTGAAAAAAGATGAGGGTGAAACGGTTGGTGCTAAGAAAATCTGGTTTATCATGTAAAAAAAACGAAATCCTCTCTGGAGGCATCAGGGGTGCAGATCCACTTTGCAGGGCTTCAGTCCACACCGGGGAAGTCTCAGCCGCGGAGCGGCTTTTTCGCTGGACTTGCGAGATCACAAAATCCCTCGAGACTTCAAAGGTCACGGTTTGTTTATGCCATTCGCCATTAAACAAAAAGAAAACGAAGAAGGAAATCTCTGTGGGCATAAAAAATGTTGTGCTTCTCCACAACCAGGATTAAAGCCATGAAAATCACACATTTGCAGTTATCGAAAGATGCTGGGAGCAAATAAACCATCAGGTCACATGTGTTAATGTAATCTATAAGAAATAGCATTATTTCAATAGTCTTTTATTTTGAAAATTACCAGACATTTTATATAGATACTGTAAGTGATTTCCCATCTAGCCCTATGTTAAATGCTGAAATTGCCGGGTCACAGAAGCGGCTCACGGCAAAAAAAAAAAAAAAGAGAATCCAATACTGTCTTTAGCGACGCAATGAGCTGCTTCTAAGACGTGCCTGGAATGTTCCGCACCACAGCAGGTTTGGATCAACCCTATAAAAGGGATAATATCTAAACCAGCAACGTTCAGTGCCGCTGATGTCCCCGTGCGGATTTGGGGTAAGTAAGCCACACTTGCTTACTTTAGCATGTCCCAACCCACATTAGTGTCAGAAAAATATAATCACTGGTTGCAAAAATCGTAAAACAATGCTAGGCCGAGCTACCGCTAACGCTAATAGGAGCTGCTAATGCTAGGCTTAGCTACTGCTAACGTCCTTGTGAAACGCTCATGTTCCTGGATGTACTGGATGTACGTTGTTGTTTGTCATCAAACTGCTCCACAACCCAAAGGACAGTCACACGGCTGAACGCTAACGTCCTCACTTCATAACCGACAAGACAGTTCTTGCTCCTGACCCATTGGGGTAAAACAGTGGCATTTTATATTCCTGCCCTGGTCGAGTGATCGGGGTAAACCAGTCTTTTCATTGTTGGGTTGATTCATGGGATTGAGTTTGGCTACTTATGAGGCTTCTGGGTCATTGTGAGCACCAGCAAACTTTCATAAGTTTTATGAAGGCTCAAAAACAGTTTCCTATTGCGAATAAGCAGTAAGATCATTAGTGCAGAAAAAATTCCCCTTGTAGCTGACTCATTTATAAATACCACATTTTATAAAAAAAAACATTTAAGTGTAAAATTGATGCAGTTTTACTACAGAAATTTAAATGTGTGGTAAGTCTTTAGAAGCTTGTTGTATCAAGCAAACTGGGATTAAATCCTGAGACAAAACTAGGCTATGGAAATTTTTGGGACTGCTCTAAAAACAAAAGACTTTAGTGTCTCTGGCTGATTTGTTCTGCTAGTTTTTACCATATGGATCCTCACGGCCTCTGCGCTCCTCTGGCAGGCATTTCTTGGTCACCCCTAAAGTCAGGACACACACTCACGGCGAGGCGTCATTTGAGTGTTACGGCCCTCGCCTTTGGAACGAGCTGCCGGAGGACATCGGGCTGCAGAGAACGTTTATGTTTTTAAGTCCAGGCTCAAGACCCACTTATTTAGGATATCTTTTATCTAATTATTTATCATAGTTTCATTTCTCGTTTTATATGATTATATTTTATTACTGGCTTAGCATGTTTTATATGATTATATTTGATTACTGGTTTTGCATGTTTTATATGATTATATTTTATTACTGGCTTAGCATGTTTTATATGATTATATTTGATTACTGGTTTTGCATGTTTTATATGATTATATTTTAGCACAGTTTCATTATTTAATATTATTATTTTAGTGTCTATATGATTTTATTTATTACAGCTCTTTTATTTTCATATTTTTACTAATTTTAATCCAGTGTTTTCTCTGTAGGGGCCCTCTGCCCCAGGGGCGGTGGTGGACAGTTGCTTCCTGGGCGCTCAACAGGTTTAAGTGGAGGTGGGGGTCTATGCTCCCCCTCCTCTGAGCGCCCTGACTTAGTGTGGAAGACCTGATTCTGCCGAGGCAGACGGCTCCTCTGATGGCGTTTCCTTGCCTTACCTTACTTGGCTCATTTGGACTCAGTCGAATGTAAATTTTTACTGATGTGTGTGTGTGTGTGTGTGTGTGTGTGTGTGTGTGTGTGTGTGTGTGTGTGTGTGTGTGTGTGTGTGTGTGTGTGTGTGTGTTTACATATGTATGTTAATGCTTTTAAACTGTTATGGGAATTTGGGGCCATTTTAATTCTGTAAAGCACTTTATGTCGCACTTTGCTTGAAAAGCGCTTTATACATAAAATCTGATTGATTGATTGATTGACTGATTGATAAAAACTGTATAAATATATTCTTTGTTGCATTTTCCCTGATATGTTCGTTGTTTATTACTTCATTTGTAGGATTTTAGAGTAAATCTCAATGATGAGTGAATGTAACAGGATCCGTCATCGATGATTCTGCAGTTTCTCTTGAGTTTATTGAGTTTATTGAGTTTACTGGTACACAAATCATTAAAAGTTAAGCATTTGTTATAACTTCTTCTCTGAGACTTCTCCATATTTAAATTGTTTTCTCTGTAATAACAATAGTTCATGTATCCTTAGTAACAAATTGCAGTGCATGTTTCTATATGGTATGGGAATAAAAATGTGCTGCATTTAAAAACTTTAATAAAACTTTAAAAAGTTAGCAATTCAGTTATTCCTTAAACTACAGGAATTTTATAACGCACTAAAGGGCAGTGAAACACTTGGTTCTTGTCACAAAGTCACCACAAATAATATCACTGTACTCACAGATTATACATTTTAAGCATTGTTAAACTAAAGTTGTTGAATTTCTTGAAGGAAAGAATTTCCAGCATCGGCCTTGCTGTAATTCTCTCCACACTGAGAGTGTTCAGGAGTCTATCTGTGAGTAAAGTCATGATTTTTCACTTTTACATAGAAAACCTTTTAAAGGTGATTAAAACAGACCTCTGAAAACAGCAGAATGGAAATCGGTTGTTCAGTAAATGTTAGATCAGGGTCAGAAAATCCCAGAATTTTCTCAAACATTTCTGTTAAATATCAGGTAACGTTTTGTTGAACGTCTACAGTCATAAAATACTAATAAAACTTTTTTGTTTAACCTTAAACGTGTTTATTTCCATTCAAGGGGACATAAAGTCACATAATATTACATGACTGTCCTCAGACGTCTGGTTTATTCCTAATTCACTGACCTCCGTTAACACCTTTTCATAGAATGACCTCTCGACATACTGCTGCAGCTGCACTGATGGATGTTCTGCTGCTGCTCTCCAGGCGTGTGGGACACCACCCATACACACACACACACACACACACACACACACACACACACACACACACACACACACACACACACACACATACATACATACATACATATATATATATATATATATATATATATTCAACTTAGATCGTTGTCGCTGGTTTCATCTTCACCCAATCACCCGTCGCATTTAGTAAGGTGAAGCCAAACTTTAGAGCGCGTTCATGTTCTTCTAGTTGGAAATTCGGAGTTTCGAGGAGATAGCGAACGCACCATTAGCGGAACGGAAGCTAACAAATCAAGCTAACATTATCTTAAACATTTTATTTACCTACCGGAGCAGATTAAGATGAGGATGTCTCACTTGGATTGTTGTCGCTGGTTTCATCATCACCCAGTTACCCATCACATTTAGTGAAGTGGACCCAAGATTCAGCGTGCGTTCTTTCTACAATGCTGCTCTGTTTACAACTCGCTCACAGCGACCGACATAACGCTCTTGCGCTGGCACAGCAGTCTAGGCAAGTTCTCATTATGAAAGACAGGTACCGAAACGAGGCACCGTTTCAAATGACGTGAATCTGTGCTCAGTCGGTACAGTGGAAGTCGGTCCGTACCTTAAAAAGTACTGAATTCGGTACCCATCGCTAACAGTCTGCATTAATATATTTATGTATTGTAATCCCATTTGCTTGCTGTGCATTTAAAATGCAGCTTTTATGTTTTTAAAATATTTATAAAGCTTCTTTACTGATATGAAGGAGACTGTACTTCATTTTCTATTAACTTAACATCAGAGGAATCAAACAGCTTCCAGGAAACAAAATCGAAAAGTCTTATCAAAACCATTTCCTGCATAATAATCTGAACGGGATAATTTTATGGCATTGTGAGGCAATTTTTCTGCATCTCTTGATGCCAAAATATCTCTTATGAGTGTGATGCTTTGATGACAGTCACTGAGTTTAACATGCAGGCAGAATGTGAAAGTTATCTTCTGATGGAATGCATTTTTGAAAATTACATAATTGTATTGACTGTGTTGCATTGAATACAAGTTTGCTTTAATATCTGAGGATTTCTACAGTAAATCTGTCTGAAATCTGGCACACAGGTACAGTAGGTGTCCCAGAGTCATAATGTGTTGAAAGTTGGACATCAACTACTCAGGATGATTTTTAATGAATTTTTGAATGTGACTTGCGCGCGGATCTAGTCTTTCTATCGAGAAATACAGCGAGAAGGTGGTACCGTAAAGACTGGTGTAAAAGCGCAAGGAAATTTACGCGGCAGACAAGATGCGGCTGGCTTGACCGCGGCTCACAAATGACCGCTCACTTGACCGCGGTGGGAAGGTGTTTCGCGCATGCTCAGAACACCGCCCCTGCATTGTTCCCTTGGTCAACCCTTGCCTGTGGTGCTGCTCGCTCTTCTCGCAACCACGCGCTGGCAGCCATTATCGCTCAATGTTATTTGGTGGACGCAGACAGCAAATTAGCTCTTGGCGTTGTATTCAAGGTAAGTTTATTTTTATTTTTTACATAGAAGTGGTGAAATTGTTTTTGGTGAAGCTAAAGAGTATACTCCTCCTCCCTCTGT